ATATCAATGATAGATCTGTAATAGATCTTCATTTTGCCAAATCGGAAAATAAAATAGCAGAATAAAAGATCCATTTTGCAAAAATATTATATGTATATGTTACTATGTATTTTGACAACTATTTTAAAAATTTTTATAAGAAATAGAATAATCATTTCATAATAATATATATGTGTTTAACAATGTCAATGAGATTTTATTTTTAGAAACATTTTAATCTCTCGCAGTAACAACACCTATACGCCTTTGTTACTCGAATTGATAACAGTAATAACATAATGAAATTTCTGTTAAGAAATATAACAAAATATAAATTACATCTGTATATACGTCTATTACAACCATGATAATGAATATAACCATAAATATTCACACATAACATCTTAATATATTAGAAACAATAAAAGTGCTAACATTTTATATTGATTAGTGTTTATTAAAATTCATCAAAAATTTTAAGAAAAAGTGAAAGTCAAAGAGGGGTATCTATTATATGATATGTTTGCGCATTTGTGTTCATGTGTGTAGGTAATAATATATGTGCTCGCACTATTCCCGGAAAGATTCCGAACATTTTTCCTTATTTTAAGTATATTTAAGTAAAGAACAGATACACATATATATATAAATATTTGATTATATTTTAAAAATAATAATTTGCAAATTATGATTATATATTTGTTCTGCAATATAATAAAATTATCTTTAATTTAATTTACAATCAGTATTATGGTAAATTCAACGACATCAAACTTCAAATATAAAATTTCATTATCATGTCCGGAAAATTTTCGGGGGTAATGTAGATATGTAGTATTCAAATATAAAATATGAGTCAAATATAAAATATATAACATATATACAAATATAAAGTTTCCCCAATCAGAAGTCATACACACAGAACTTAAATATCAAATTATACGTATAGTAATTATATCCAGTTTTTTCGCATTTGTGTCTTTTATAACTACAAAAGCTGAAAGTGATTATTTCTTCAGCTACAGAATAAGCCACACGAATTATAATCGCCCTATACAATTTCAATATTTTTATAAGATTACAAGAGACTTTTATATTTATTGTCATTAAGATGCATTTTTTAACCCTTAATTGTTTGATCAAAATTCATTATTACAATGTTGTATTATTGCCTAGAAATGGCAAAATTTTAAATTTAATAAATATTTTGTATTTTGTATGTAAAATATTGAAAGATGTAATAAATTTGCGTTACCATTATTATGTTGTTCTTACATGCATTGTGTTTGTGAACATTAAAACATTTAAGGGTTAATTGCTTGCATGTACCACTAGCAATTATATTCACAAAAAGCTTCTGTCTTATAATTTCGTTTTATCGAGATATCAGAAATAATTTTTTCTTGTTTTTTTCTTTTTTTACCACAATTTATAGTTATATATTTGTATTAAGAACACAGAAGTATTATATGCACAAACCTTTCCTTAAGAATAATTATTGTCTTTCGTTTATATACATCAGCACAATAACTCCTTGCTGGATCATCGAAGAATACATTAAAGTTTCTTACATTGTAAGTTAATGTACAATGTCAAAATCTGTTAGATATAAGTCTTACTAATTTATTGTCCAAGTATTGTTCTTACATGTATATTTAGGAAGAAGCGGGAATGCGACATTTTATTTCGCACAGTTGCAAATATTCATATACAAACATCCCCGAGAATATTTTGTCAAATTTAAATTGAATATTGAATATAAATAATATATTTCTATTGATCAATGACAAATTAATAAAAATATAAAACATATATTCTACAAAATTAAACTAGAACAAATCAAAATTGATAAAATATATTATTTTACTCTATGTTTGCATTATGTGCAAATTATATTAATACTTATTTAAATAATAAGTGTGTAACTTATAAGAAATAATATTAACAAATTTAAATATGTAATAGCCCATGTGATCTTTATCACATGCATGATTTTCACTTAATAACATCAAATGATAATTTCTGATAATTTCTAAGTTCCGTTTTTCGGAATAGTATTAAAATTCTGCATTTGCAATCTGTAAATGTGATTCAGTCTATGCAACTGCGTATTGAATTACATTTATATTTTGAATTTTTTCGCAATGTACTTCACTAGCGATTTTCTGGTATCCATGACATTTTTAAAAAATTCGATTTGATATTTCAAATAAACTGCGAAGCTTACTATTTTTTTTTTTGTAAGACAGATTAAACGGTTTTTCTTTTTATAAAATTAAACGTATTTAGATATTTTGTGTCAAATGATTGAATAGATTTCTATTCTCTTTAACATATACAAGTTGGATTTCAAGAAAAAGAGCAGAAAGAAGAGACAGAAAGTGAGAGGGAGAGAAAAATTGCAATTTTAGATCTTATATCATATCTAAAATTATTGTGCTGTAATTTTTAAAGATATTGCGAAATATTGAAAGGAAAGTTTACTTTTTCTAAGCTTATTTGAGGATCAAATAATTATTGTATGTAAATTTAAGAAACCTATTGTAACATATTCATTCTTTTCTGCTCTGTACAAATTTAAAAAACGCGAAAAATTTTTTAATCTATGAAAATGTGCTATTCCATGTCTTACTTGTTTCAATGTTGTTGCGAAATTGCACAAATATACCAAAAAAAAAAACATATGCACATTATCAATGAAATCAGCCTGATATGCAAATTGATTTCATGCATTTGATATTAAATTTTACATTTTAATTCTATTTGCATCAAGGATATGCAGGCGATATTACGATGCATTTAGAAAGTATAGCTTTTTGGAGCAATATAGGTGCCATTCAATCCATTTTCTTTGGCTTGAACATACGTTCAAGTAAACTTACACAAGTGATTTGCACAAGCA